CGGCTGTGACCTAATGGAGCCGACATTGCTTGAGAGCTTGTGTGGAGTCAGGCGTCGTGCAAAGGGCTCTGGGTGCAGCATCTCATCGCAACCTCAGGGGAGCCATGCAGAACAAGTGCTACTGCTGTTTTTTGTTTCACTTGCGTGCACACTGAGCTCGGGAGGGGTCAGGCCATCGGTGCAAGGCAATGGCTAATAGGTGGCGGACCTGGGATTGAACCTGCGTGGTCTGTCTTCAGCCTATGTTCCTAACCTCTAGGTTGTATTGGGTCCCCTGGTAGATGGAGAAGCCCAATGAACTATGAGAGCCAAAGCAAAAGCAGTGCCGTAGTACGTGCAGTGTCCCAAGGCTCAAGGACAGAGCTCACCGGAGGAAGTTCACTAAGGCAGAGCATCACGTCAAGGGGAACAAAAGATGGGAAGCTCGTATCTGCTCCTCCTGGGTTTGGGGGACCTTGGGCCCTGAGTAGAGACAGAACTTCCCTGGAGCAGGCAGGGCCAGTCTGGCCTGGAGCCATCCTAACTAACTGCCTGGAAGTGCTCCTTCCTTCCTACCTCCTGCCTCCTGGTCCCAAGACCTCTCTTAGCTTAAAAATTTTCCTCTCTTTAGTTTTTTGTTTCCATTTTTTAATAACCAGACCTGACAGGCACAAGGGTGGGGCCACCTCTCGTTTCCTCAATTGTCTGACGAGCCCATAATGAGAATCACTTATCAGAGAAATATGCTGCAATGAGCCTGGAGCCACAGGGCCATCTGTGTTTTTTTAACGTCCAAATGCGGTCGAAGTCAACGGCGGGAGCTCTCCTGATGATGTGCAGACAGAGGCAGGATGGCACCTGAGGGTGATCCCGGGCAAGGATACAGCCAGGTGTTTGGGACAGAAGGCTGCACGGTCTGGGACCTCTCCTGGTGACTCAGTTGGTGGGGCTTGAAGGTCATCTCTGGCTGGGGAACTGAGAAGACACTGCCACTTCTTGAGGCTTCTCAAAAGAGAAAGGTGGGCAGATACATCTGTTCCTTTCTTTAATCACTTTGTTAATTGGCCCTTGAAGGGAATACGTCGTATTGGATGGAAAAACCAGTGAATTGTACATAGTTGACACTTGATAAATATTCGCAGGATTGGGCTGCATAGAGGTTTCTTTTAAGTCCAGACTGACTCTTTAGAAGTTTTGGGCAAGATGCCCGAGCTCAGAGAGTTCCTCGAGCATGCCGCACGGAAGTAAGCAGTGGGGAGGAGACACGTGTCAGAAGTAGAACAGATCCAACTTTGGAGAATATAGTTTTGTTAGGTTTGATCTTGGACAATGGGGTATTAAATTAAATTAGAAGATTCCTTAGATCCCTGGGCAAAATCGTCAAGCTGATGACGTTTGTCCTTTGAAGCTCCCCCTCTCCCACTTGAGCTTCAGGGGTTTCCTGGGAAGTCAGTTAACGCTGGTCAAAAATGCCTCCCTTCCTTAGGAATGACATTTGGCTACAGGCAATAAAAACCCAGCCAGGGAGACTTTGATGAATGGGGATCTGGAAAAGGGTGCATCCCACCAATCAGAGAAATAAAATGAAAACATCAAGGAGATACCTTTCCCACTCAGCACGCTAGTAAAAAACTCATAGTTGTAGACTGTGGAGGTGCAAGAATTTTCATAATCACTGGCGGTGATGTAAATTAAGGAACCCATTAGGAAAGCAGTCAGGTACTATCTGCTAACGTCAAAGAGAGGCAGGCTCCTCTACGCTGCAAGTCTGCTGTCAGAGTGCCCTGGGGAGATGCTGGCAGGTGTGCTGGTCATGCCCAGGGTGGTCAAGCCAGCATTGTTTGAGACAGTGAGTGAAAAAAGAACCTACCTACACATCAATATAGAAATTGTGTCTAATTGTGAAATTAGATGCCCAGCAATTATAATCAATGAACAAAGCATATTTATCAACATAATGTTGAATAAGAAAAGCAAATTACAAAAAGATTCATATGACCATGAAAACATATATGTAAGTGCTTTAATATACACAAAACAAAAATATGTTTGGCTTGTGGAGCTATGTATGGATAGTCCAAAGATCAAAACATGGTTTGATCAGATGTGCACAATTTTTAGATCGTGATTTCGTCAGGAGAGAAGGAGAATGGAGTGAAGGGACTTCCATTTTATGTTTCATTTCTTTTACTGTTGAATAATTTATGATGCAAATATCTGGACAGAGAGTTTTTGTTTATTATTCTCTGGACTTTTTAGTACATTTCCTAATTGAAGCAATTAAAGAAGGCACACAGATGATTGCAGGTCTGGCTGACAGAGCCCGAGGAAGGGGAGAGCCTGGGGGAAACAGGACCCCCATCTGGCACAGGCTGGATATCTCCAGCCTCTGCCAAGGAGCCAGGTCTGGCCTCTTCTCCTGGTTCATGAAGTCTTTTTTGGGGAGCGGGGGGTCTCATCTCAGATTTCAGATGTGATGAGCGTCTCCACATCAAATCCCAAATATTTCTGTCCATCTTGTACTTTCTGGAGCCGAGATCAGCCTCTCTGGCTTTCAAACATCTTATTTTGCTTAACTTTTAGGTACCGAGTAGTCTGGCTCCTTAGCCAGGACCTTGAAAGGCTGTATGCAATACAATATGAGGACAACAGAGGTATTCTGCAGCAATTATGTGGAGGGAAAAAGAGAAAAAAGGGAAGTTTTTATGCAAGTGTCTGGCCTCTTAACCTACTCTACCTTTAAATAAAGTCAGATCTTTGACATTCCCTGGGGAAGGGGGAGGAGAGTCGCGAATACCTCTTGCCTATCTGCGGAGTTGAGTCCATTCTGTTTGAATACTGAATTTCCTTAAGCACAATATTTCAGGACAGCTGATCTTACTCATAGATAACTGATTCGTATTAATATTACTAATAGCAACTATTTTTTAAAAATAAATGTATTTATTTCATTATTTTATTTATTTGTTTATTTTTGGCTGCATTGGGTCTTCGTTGCTGCACTTGGGCTTTTCTGTAGTTGCGGTGAGCAGGGGCTACTCTTCGTTGGGGTGCATGGGCTTCTCTTTGTGGTGGCTTCTCGTTGCAGAGCATGGGCTCTAGGCACACGGGCTTCAGTAGTTGTGGCACGTGGGCTCAGTAGTTGTGGCTCATGGGCCCTAGAGCTCAGGCTCAGTGGTCATGGCACACGGGCTTAGTTGCTCCACGGCACGTGGGATCTTCCCGGACCAGGGCTTGAACCTGTGTCCCCTGCATTGGCAGACAGATTCTTAACCATTGCGCCACCAGGGAAGCCCACTAATAGCAACTATTGATATAGTGCTTCCAGCTGGCCAGGCACTGCACTCGACATTATATACATTATCCCTTTTAATTTCCACAATTGCCCTAGGAGGTATGTATGATTATTCTTATTTTGTGAATGTAAAGGGGTGAAGAAATGTGCCCAAGGGCACATGGCTGCTAAGCGGCAGTGCTGGGACACAGCAGCATGGCTTTGCATGCTGGTGGTGGATAGCAAGACATATGTAACATTCCTTATTGCATGGTGCCTTCTTAGACCATCCGTGGACTGAAGTAAACTCTGTCTCTGGTCCTTACCACTCCTGTCTGCTCCACACTGCCTACGCAAATGTCTGACCCACATCTCGAATTTAACATGAATTCCAAGAGGACTCTGTTTTCTTTCACAATCTGTTTCCCTCTAGTCTTTCCTGTTTCCGTAAATGGCATCAGCATCCACTCAACAGCTCAGACCAAACACTTAGAAGATGCCCTCATGTTCTCCCTGGCCCTCAAACTCCATTCAACCCACCACCAAATCTTGATGTCTCTACCTCCAAAAAATAACCTTGGATCTAACCCCTCCACTGCCAGATCCTATTTCAAGCCACCCCTTTCTCTGATGACAGCGATCTCCCTGTTTCCATCCCTCCCCTGCCACCCCTGCTCCAGAACATTCAGTGATTTAAGTGAAACCGTTCATTGTACCCCTGGTTTCAGCTGGTTCTGTCCACACACACTGACTCCCTGGTCTTTCTTTGACCTTACCTCCTATCCCTGTCCCACTTGCTTCATCTGACTTCAGAGCGCTCACTCTTGTTTCTGCAGTACTTAGTATCTCCTGAAGAATCCTTCATGCCCCGTGCACCCCTGCTGATTGAGAAGCAGTATCAGAGTAACACTTTCTACATTTGGAAAGTCTTCACCAGCACATAGATAAAACAGGTGGCCCTTTCTCTCTCCCTCGATGATGACCTCACTGAGCACCGCACCGTCTGCAGCCACCTGACTACAAAATTCTGCTTGTAATTCCACAGATCATTCCTTATGCCACCATGCACAGGGATGAGTAACATTTGCTGTGGATACCACGATCCATATGAGTCCCACTGAAAGCCATCAACCACTAGGAGAACATTATGCAACACTTTCTTTGTGGAGTGTGTGTTGTGATTCCTCCCACATAATTGGCAAATGATGAAAATACTGATATCCTCCCGGGCATTTAAGCTTGCTATTGGATAACTACTCAGAACGTAGCCCAGGTCTAGAACGTAGAGTACAAGGAATGTTGCTTTGAAATGAATGAATGAGCACCCACTATATCTAAGCACTATGTGATGTACGGGAAGCACATATTAATGGGACACGGAAAGAGCTGTAAGTTAGAATAAAACACAGGAGTGCCCAAGAGGAGATGTGTGAATGAGGTATAAGTAACGTCTAGTTTGTGCCAAGCAGAAGGGCAGCCATCCCCGGCAGAGGGAAGATTCTTGAAAGGATCCAGAGGCTCGCACTGCCTAAGGATCTCCACAAGCACTTTCACAGCAAGCCCCTGAAGTTGGTAGAACCATGGGAATCATCCCCCATGTACAGATGAGGAAACTAAGTCTCAGAGAAGTCAAATAGCTTGCTACAGGCCATGCAATAAATATGTGGCAGAGCCTGGGTTGAGATCTTTGTGATGAAGGGTTTCAGGCATCTGGGACGAGCCTGAACATGCTTCTTGATTCCTTCAGGGTCCCTGTCCTCACTTCCGGAGCTTACAATGAAATGAACTGAGCCAGAGAGGATGCTACGGCAGAGAGAGACAATGGCCAGCGTGACAGAAGGGATTCATCTAAGGTATCTGCATCCTTAATTGGCATTTAATGAAGAGAAAGAGGTCTGAACAAGGAGTTTAAAATCCTGGTTTGAGCCCTGGCTCTGGCACTAGCTTGCAAAGTGTTCTTAGGTATATTATTTGCCCTCTGAGCTAGTTTTCTCATATGAAAAGTGAGTCTGCCCTCATTAGAGAGTTGACACAATAAATAAATGAGCTACTCTGTGTGATGGTAATCTGTCTGCTCCAAAGAGCTGTACACACGTTAGATTTATAACTTATTATTATTACATTTTATTATATCTTCTAATTCATGCTATATATTATATAATAATATATAAGAATATTGTCTCATGTATTATTAATAATGTCATTGCTAAAAATATTTTCCCAAGTAAGACATAGTTTAATAGGGGATTGCATGGGACAGAAATATCTTGAGTTTTTCAAACTTCAGATTACAAACCATTAACAGGTCTTGTAAACAAGTTAGTGCTTTTTAAACATAAGGCAATACAGTTCCTGGCCGAGTAAACGTGGTCAGTTGTGATGTAAAATTTATTACTGCTGGTAGGTCGTGATCAAAAATGTCTTAAAAACTCTACAATCAGAAGAAAAACCTAGAAATGTTAGGGACCAGCGTATCAGTTGTTCGATTAAAAAGGACCTCGGAGTTGATTGGGTCCCACCGCCCTTACTGATTGGATAGAAAACTGAAGATCCCACAGCTGTGCTGTGGCAAAGGCAGGTCGCAAAGTCCAGCTTCCAAACGAGGCAGCCAATCCTGGGGGCTGAACTGGAAAGGGAGGGGCTTGGAAATGAGAGCTCCTGCCTTCATGAGTTTGCATATCTAACAGTGATTTATTAGCTGCCACTCTGTGCCTAGCACCGCCCCTGACTTCAAGGAGCTGCTTACATTTTAACAGGAGAGAGAAAAATATTAATAGAGGTCATATTACTGAAAAATAAATTTTTTCCGCTTGAAATAAATTCAGTGAAGGAACTAGCAAAGGAAGAGATACAAAGAAGCATGGAATGAGGGTCCACGCGAAGGTGGTCAGGGAAGCCTGTCTGAAAAGGTGATGCTGAAGTTAGAACCTAAAGGATGGAGGTCTTTGAGCTCATCTTGGACACAAGATGGCTTGCCGCAATGTTAGGCACCACACGCTTGTTCAAGCCAGAAAGAAAGGATAAGGGGAAACAGGGATGTGTTTCATAAGGAAAAAAATATTATCAGAGGGAAGATTTTTGATTAATTTTCATAGATCAGTGGATGCTGAGGAAAGCAAGTGTTTCTCTACAGATGATCATGTTGCTTCCAAACCAAACTAGGCTTTGATTATGAAGGAAGAAAGGGGCAGGGTGTATAGGGTAGGTGGTGAAATGTGATTGCTACCCATATCGTTCTCTTACACGTTTCTGTGCGTTTGTTCATGTGATTGCTTCTACTCAGCACGTGCTTTTTCATCTAACGAAAAAGAAGTAAGCATGTGGCATCAGTGTTTTCCTCCCAGTGCCAGCAATATACAACCTCCACACATGCTAGTTCATGAAAAATACAAGGTATATACTTATATAAACCACTGTGTCCAGCTTTCCCTTACTTGCAGCCAAATGGAATCTCAACTGACATGAGGCTGTGTGGGGGAAGGTCAGCATCTCTGGGGGATTCATCCCTATACTGACACTCAGTGACTAAAGTCTTAAAGGTGGAGTCAGAGTAACCTTAGTTTCAAGATCTCTATCACTGATGCCATGTCTCTGCTGCCCTGACCCCCTGCCTGGCTGAGGACCTTCAGCTGATCTCTGGTCTTAATCCCCGTGCTCTGTCTGATGTTGGATTGCTTCCACAGCTTTTGATCTCAACCCCGTAAGTCCAGAACACCCCCACAGACTCAGCTGAATCCCATGTCTCATTCCTAACTTTGCTTCCCCACTCTACCTTGACCAACCCACCCTTGATTTCTAGCTCTGTCCCAGGAAGGGTCCTGGAATGACGTGACTACATCTGATCATATTTTATCTCCAACCTGCAAGATGGTGGACTTGGTTTTTCTAATAAGCAGCACATTGCTCAATTTATAATTTATTATACATTATTATCCTCAGCTTTTTGGCAGTATGATTATTTCACAAATTGCAGGCTCCTACTTTAAATTAATGCTGATTGAGACTTTTCCCAGGTACGTTATCTTACATTTATCTATATTAAATCTCATCTCATTCGCTTCCAAATTTGCATTCTTCTCTGTTCTTTTAGCCTCTCTGATAGTCATTGTGGTTTGGAACTTGGTAGCATCTGAAATATAATAAACTTGTCCTTCTTTCTAAATCATAAATGAGCTTAGTATAAATGCTTCTAACATGTATAGAAGAAGAACTAGCATTTATTGTCCATTGACTAAGAGTCTTAGCTGAGATTCCCCCAGAAGTATACACTAAGATGAGGATTTGGTGCATACGGATTATGCGGAAGGAGATCCTGGGAAGCAGAGTGATGGGACGTGAAGGGGAGACAGGGAATGGAGGAAACGCAGTTAAGAGTGCGTCATCGAGTGGATTACCACTGATGGCTTCTGGGGCTCACCTGCTGAAGACCCTCTGAGACTATATAGAGCCCACCCCATCGACTCCTGCCCATCATCCCGAGGTGGTTGCTCCTGGGGAACATGAACTCTCTGACATTTACAGTCATCTTGAGCCTAGCAAGCTCCTGTAGCCAGAGAAAGCTCCCAGGCAGAGATGCGGATGCTGGAGGAGGAAGGTTTTGCATGTATGAGATTTGTCCATAGAGCTTCAGGTGACCTCTTAGCTAAGGGGAAATGAGCTGGGCACCTGCTACAGTCCATCCTGTGCACCACCCAGGTCTACTCTTGCCACACATTGTGTCTACTTTGTTCCGTCACTTACTAGCAAAGTTGTGCCGTGGATATTCCCCGTCTCCCTCCTCTACCACTCATTTGAGATTGTCCTCAACCTTAGCCAGTACTTCTACTAGTGTAAGTTTCTTTCCCAATAAGGTAACTCACTGAGGTATCTGAGCCCCTCATTACAATGCCCTTGTTGCTCCATGGCTGATGAATTGCCCTTTCAGTTACCAATGGGCATGGAAGCAACAATAAGCCCTCCAGAGAATCTGCTGTGTTCCATACTATTATCTCTCCGTTCTCATTATAGGTAGGAGCCTCAGGACCTCATGTCATTTACCCATGCAAATAGAGTAACTCTTTTTTTTTCCCTTCTGGTCTACTGGCATACAGAGTCCGCATCACCAGGCAGCAACCATAACTTTAGGCTCAGTAGAACCCTTCATGTGTTGCCTGGCAGAAACATCCATCTCTTGGGAACTAAGACAGCTAGTCCAGCAGAGCCAAGAGTTGTAGGTTTGAGAGGTTAAAAAAATTGCCCAAGAGGTCTTCTGGGAGTGACAGTGACTCCAGCAATAGGACCAATGCTTTTTTTACTTGCTCCTATAGGGGTCTATCCACACACCTCTTTCCTGGACTTCCTCATCTCCAGTCTTCCAATTATGTTTCTCTTAGGTCTCTGACCAACCTGTTAATCCATTCATCGCTGTATGTATTCTTCCCTCAGACCACTTCTGCCCCCACCCAAAGTTGAGGATTACATGTGCTCAGACATCTGTGTGCTGAGATTTCTCCCTGCCACTGTCTTTCATCAACACTCCTGAGTGGGACTAGAGTACGGCAGCAGACCACGGTCAGCACGCTGACAAATTGTGCTGGACCATCCGAGAACCAGGACTGAGACTTTTCTAATCCATCACTGGTCATAAGGAGCTTTGTAAGAGGCCACAGGTGTGAGTGGTGGGGGAGGTTCTCATGCAACAGAGGTAGGTGACAGAGGGTCAGGGTCATCTTTTCATGTCACTTACCTGCACCTGGCAGGTCTGCTTGGGCTTGATCTAGCATGGGACATTTTCATCATGGGATGGATTATTGCTGTATACGCCCAACTTCCGACCCGGTAGACCTGACGACACCCAGCTCTTGGTGGGCAGTTCCAATCCGACCCGGTAGACCTGACAACACCCAGCTCTTGGTGAGCAGTTCCAATTACATAGTCACTTGATGCCCCGTGATTAGAAGCTTCTTTCTGATCAGTGTATAATTCTCTGTGATAAAGTATGGTTTTGATCCAGAAACCTAAAGGTCTGCTCTGTGGTTCCTCTACTGAAATTGCCAAACCCTCCACACAGCATTTGTGTCTGCCTCAGTAGATCTGACACCCCGTAAGCTCTGCCTGGTTGGATAGCTCCATGTCAGAGCAGCCTTTACAATAGTCTGATCCTATTGCAGAGGTTGCTTTTGGCCTCTTGCTTTTGGCCCCAGTCAAAACTTGCAGCCTTCCTGGTCATCAATAACCTGTTGGGATCGTCTTCCCAAATGTGGTGTGTGCTGCCTTCCAGATCCAAAGAGGCCCGTCAGGCACTGCCCAACCTTCACCTGCAGGGAACTCAAGGCACAGTGACGTGCCTTGTACCTTGTGACGCGCCCCACGTGGTTAGACACCTCTTTTCACCTAATTTCACCAATGTGGCAGTCACCAAAGTCTTCATGGAGTTTATCTCCCACCTTCTCGTGTGGGATAAGTATGTGTGTTGATGAACACATAGCAGTCTCTGACATATATATGCATACGTATATGTGCGTGCATATATAATTGGATAGATTTGTCAAATAGTGCATCTCAAGCTTTACCAAAGGGAAATATAAGTAGAAAAGGGAAGAACAATGACTGTCCTTCTCTTCTGTCCAAACACATTTTACTTCAACTTCCCTGAAACCCAGAAATTATGCAGGAGTGCACAGATGAACTAAACAGACTTCAGCACGACTGATACAGTTAGTGGAATCACCAAACCCCCAATCATTTACATATTCTTTTTGAGCATAACAGTAAAAATAATTCAAGGCAACAAAAAATATGAGATATTGAGGAGGACATAAGTGTCACCAAGGGGTCTGAGAGAACTTTCTAAGCAAGACAGAAAGCCCAGAAA